CGACAGACAAAGAGAGAGAGAATGCAAAAGCAAACGCGTGAGCGCAAAGCAGCATGAACATGTGGGGGCGTCGTTGACGTCGCCGTCGTCGTCGACGCCGCCATCGTCATCGGCTGACTTATGAGTGACTCTCTTCTGTGCGCTCTCTCAGGCTCGCTCAGTTGGCGGCGAAAAAACGTGACAATGTCGTGTTATGGTTTGGTTTGCTATCGCTGTCTGGTCCCTGCATGCGCTCTGCTTGCCAGCCTACTGCCTGCCTGCTTGTCTTCCGTTGCTTCTGTTTTGGAGTTTACCTTTGTGTGAGTTGCGTGGCGTTGCGTCTGTATGCGGGAGCATAACATAATACATGCATAAACGTGTGTCTGCTTATATACTGCTTACACATCAAACTCACACATACTCACACATCTGAATGTATGGAATACTCACGCTCATTTGGCTAGCGCGTATCATGTCAAAAAGCTTAGCGCGCATTATTTATATTATAACCTCTAACTTTTCTTGCTTCTCTCACTCATTTCTTTTGCCTGCCCTCTTGTTTCTTTTTTTTTTTTATTTTTTTGTTTTTTCTTCCCTTACACTCTAATTGTTTGCTAATTTTCTTTATATCATTTTCAACGTTTATTTAATTCTATTAAAATTCTTATAGGCCGCTTTGTATGTGTCGCGTTTCAGCGTGTGCGTGTTGATAAGGCGCCAGCCACCAGAGACACTTTATTATTATTTGTTGTTGTTGTTGTTGGAGAAGCAGCTGACTTGCTCGCTTGTGAGTGTATGAGTGTGTGTGTGAGTGTGTGTGTGTGTGTGTGCGTATATAGCAAAGTTGAGGCTGAAGCTGCGCCACAGCAGTGTCAAAGTAAAATCACATGTGCTAATTAAATATAAATGTAATCATTTTGTATATTTATGTAGATTCCATATTTTAATAGTATTTAAATTTTACGGGCGACAAACAAATTGCACGCAACATTGGCTTCGATGTATGTAGCCAGAGCGCGTTCCTCTTGGTGTTTTGCGCGTATACATGTGTGTATTTGTGTGTGTAAGTGTGTATATGCGTGAGCCTCATACACACAATCACGCACACATACATGCATATAGAAAGGCAAGCACACGGCAAGCAACCAATGACTACGGTGTACAGTCCACTTGTTAAATCAATAAAAATAAAATGCACAAAAAAGCAAAACGAACTGTATTAAGAAACCCATTAAAAGAAATGTACGAAATAAAATACTATAATTTACTGAACTGCAGCCAGACGTAGGGCACCTGCTGTCGTTCCGATGTCAGTCAGAGGAAAACGCATGGCCAAGCGCTTGACAACCTTTGGTAAATGTCAAGGAGCTGGAACTGTCCACATGGACACACATAGTTCTTTTTTTCAATTTACTTTCGAGCACTTATCACACGCATTTAACGGGGTCACATTTCACATAATTTGTTATTATTATTGCTGTTATTCTTGTTGCTGTTGTTTCATTTGGTTAAACGGCTGGCGCACGCGATTCGATTTTGTTGTATATGTGTGTGTAAATACGTTAGTGTGCATATACTTACCATGTTTCCAAATTGCTAAACTTCTTGGTGACCACTTTGCCCAGGTCGATGCCAAGGCGATCGACAATACGCTGCGCCAAATCCGGATGCGAGGTACCCGAAAACACTTTAATGTTTGGCATTCTGGAGTGTATTAGATTTAGACAACCAGCCTGTTTCTCCAAATTGTCTCGGATCAAACTTCTAGCGCGTATCGGATTAGCAGAACGTACTGGCATCACACAATCTACGAGTACAAGTTTTTATTATAAAAATTTTTTTGCACAAGCAGCGACAGCGACGTCGCCGCATTCGCTCTGCCTCTGCTGTCACCCGTGTATGTGTGTGAGTATACATGGCGGAATTGAGCGAAGAGAGCGCAGAGAGTGAGCCAACGCTTGTAATAGAGCGCCATGAGCGCCATAAATGTAAGCAGACGATGGCAGCAGCAGAAAGCATTGCTGCGCTGCTGCTCTCTCACACTCACGCGCCAAATATTCATTCATACATCTGGCATAAGCAGCGAAAAGCTTGTCTGTGTATATACATATCTCATGCAACAGTATGGGCATGTGTGTGTTGTCGGGAGAGAGAGAGAGAGGGCGAGAGAGAGTGAAAGAGTACGAGTCTCACCAGAGCCACCCCAAGCATCAGCCATGTGATTATTTTGACATATTGCTACCGCAACCTGTGTGAGTGAGCGAATGTTGTGTATTGTGGCCAGATCGTGACGAATTCGAAAGTAGACTACTTGAGTTGGCATTCAAAGTAGTTAGAAAGAAAACAATATTTGTGGCTAACTAAAGCAAGAAACATCAACTCGTATTTATATGATATTTATGATATTTTACTCGAATACAGTCTGGCAACATTGTTTGTCCTCCTGGCGTCCGGCAGTCCCATAACAATAATCAAAAGCTCGCACTTAGCCTGATAAAGCCATGCGCTACGTTCTCTGCTCTCATTAAAGAGCGCGAATCTATGGGAAATGCACCGAAAACAAAATAGTCTGGTATGCAAACAGGCGCGTGCCGAAAAGCTTTTATCACGACACTAACCGAACAGCTGTTTGTATGGATGGTTAGGGGGTTTTCGTTTGACAATGGCCGTGAAATATACTTTTAGCCTTGCACGCAATACGCACCATTTTGTTCAGATTTTAAACTTTTTGTATCTGGCATCATGACAAACTGCTCGAAAACTCTGCAATGACGTGCAACACTACGCGCGCAATTTGCCGCTATTTGTCAGGTGCTAACGGTAATACCCGACTGAGAAACGAACGGTGAATTTATAAAGCAAAGAGCGCGCACGTAAAAAAATATTTTTATGATTTATAAGTATATTTATTAGAACTATGACAGTAGATTAGGCGTTGAGAACAACAGAATCAAGCGCAACGCCGCCAGCAGCGAGTGAGCAATTGGAACTACTGAGCGCGTACATGGCGTATGCGTTTCACACACACATATATACGAACTTACACATAAGCACACATGCACACATCTGCTCACGCACACATAAACACATGTAAGCTAATAGACGCAGAGCATGCAGAAGCTTTCGCCGCAGCATTGGCTATTGTCTCGCTCTCTCACTCTCTCTATCAATCTCTTTGTCTCTTCCTTCTGATTATTGCACAGCTGTTAAGCTGCAATTGCGAGGGCTACAAAAAATGCATTTAAATTTTGCATTGCTTTTTATTTAAGCTGGCCGAAGCTAATGATCCCAACTAAAGCTATTTATTTTTGGGGGCTCGTCTTTGCTGCTTTGTTGTATAGTACGACTGTACTTGAGCAGAACAATGGAATACGCAGAGATTTGTCAAATTGTTTTCGTGTCTAAATTTAAATGAACTAAAGCCAATGCTAAAATGCCAGGCTAAAATGTTTTTACAAAAGGAAAGCACTGACGTAGTCTGCGAGCATGTATGTGTGCATCTGTGTGTGCGTATATATTATATATTGTTGACGCAAATGCAAATGGCGTCGCTGCATTCATATAAAAAATGAGGAGGTTTGAGGGGTAAGCAACCACGTGCCAGCTTCTTAACTGCTGACAACGCACGTTTTCTTTGCCATTAGAAACAGATAAAGCACAATAAAAACACACATACACACACATCAACACACACATACATAAACGTAAACACGTTTCGGCAATAGAATTCAACTTACATGAAACATGTGCAGAAACAAATCGGTTCGTAAATAACTAGGTACACAAACAAATTAGGCGTTGAAACGGTTATTTTTGCTTTTTGTTTTTTACTCACGTTTCACTTAGTCCGCGTTTATTCTTTTGTTTGGCACTTAAGAATGCAGCCGCTTCAATGAAAATGCAAAAGCTGAATGATTTCATTGGCGGCGAAGTCATGAAGTTTGTCTGCCAAACAAAAGAGAGCGTGAAGAAGCCAGCAGAGAATGGGAGATGGAGAGTTAGTATCGTGGAGAGCGAGATAGAGAGAATGAGAGAGTAATCAAAGAAGTCAAAGAGTAAGCGCGCCGGCAACTCGGTATGCTTTTTTTTTTTTTTTTAATTTGTGTGCTTTATATTTTTTTAATGGAGCTTGGGCCGACGAACGTCTGTGCAAAAGAAAACAAACGAAACACGTGCCCAGCGAGCAAGCGCAGCACAAAACTAAAACAGAAACGGTCTCAGATGTCGCCGAGCTAGAATGTTCGCGTTGACCAATTGATAAAAAGTTAGTTAGAAATGTAAATAAATTAGAGCAGACATAGTCTAGACTCTAGACGTATCGAATGACCTTAAAAAATGTTGACTGGGCTATTTTTAACAGCTAAACACGTCTTGCTCAGCAGCTTCTCGTCCCACACGTTTTTTACTACTTTTGAAACCTGAAGAAAGGAAACATAAAAACAAAAGCAAAAAACAAAATAAATAGTGTTGAGTCGCATAATTGCTGTATATTATTTTGGCTGCTGTTGCTAAGCTGGCGAGAACCCTATTGTAAGCTAGACGCGCATTTGTTATTTATGAGAGACAAAAACGAGTTTTGAATTGCCATCGAAGTGAATCGGTTGCCAAGGCGTAATAGAAGTCTCTACCTGAGGTCAAATCAAGTTCATTTTGAGGGATCAACGCTAAGCCTTGAAAATGGTGGAAAAATACTGTTTCATCAATGTGATACGTATCTATCAGATACCTACACATAGATGAAGTCCATGTTAAAAACGCCCATATTCATAGCATTAGTATAAAAAAAAAAAAAAAAAAAAAAAACAAGACGATCTCAAAGTCAATGAAAACTTGGCGCTTAAATTTAAAATATTTATAAACATTTTACAGCACTGTGGGCAAACGGTTAACTGTTAACCTTTAAACAAATCACAGTGAAACTGCTCCCATTAACAGACTCGATAACTATAAATCGCAAATTTAACATTTGGTTTATCATTTCAGATATGGCGTATGGGTCACACTTGCCAGCAGCTGACTGCCAATGCTTATCGATAGTCTAGCAGCCCTGGCTTACGTGCACAGTTTGTTGAAAAAAGTGTCAGTTTAATATAATTGAAATATTGAAGCGTTTCATATTGTTTTTGTATGCTGCCGCCACTTAGCTGCAACATATATGTCTATATATATATCATAGATTTTTACCCAGCGTCAGCGAACTGCGTGTTATTTACGCAACAACAACGACAACAACAGCAATAACAGCACAAACTAAACAACAATCAACAATCCAACAACAGTCGAGAACTCTGCTGTAATCGGCAGTAAAATCTACCAACAGCTAAATAACACCAGAAACAACAACAAAAACTCCCAACAACAAATTAACAATCATGGCGAACATGGCCGTATCACGTATCAAGCGCGAATTTAAAGAAGTTATGCGCAGCGAAGAGGTGAGTGTGGCCCGAGCCGAATATATACAGATGTATATACATGTATATGTATATGTATACACATGCACACATATGTGAGCAGAAGTCAAGGACTTTGCCTCCAATCCGAATTTTTTCTGTTTTGGCGCGAGCCTGGTAAACCAATCAAATTGCATAATTTCATTCATATTATTAATCGATTTAAGCTAATATCGTATATCTAAACCATATCTGTAGATCGTACAGTGCTCAATCAAAATAGAGCTAGTCAATGATAGCTGGACAGAGCTGCGCGGCGAGATCGCCGGCCCGCCAGACACGCCCTACGAGGGCGGCAAGTTCGTGCTGGAAATCAAAGTACCAGAAACATACCCATTCAATCCACCAAAGGTGAGTCTACCGTTGCATGCTGTGTGTATATGGTATGAGGTGTGATATATGATATATATACAAATATTTGTATACACTCGGTGTTGTGTTTCAGGTTCGATTTATAACACGCATTTGGCATCCGAACATTTCGTCAGTCACTGGCGCCATTTGCCTAGACATATTGAAGGACAATTGGGCCGCTGCGATGACATTGCGTACGGTATTATTGTCGCTGCAGGCGTTGCTGGCCGCCGCCGAGCCCGATGATCCCCAGGATGCCGTTGTCGCATATCAGTTCAAGGATAAGCACGATCTATTCGTATTAACTGCCCGACACTGGACCAATGCGTATGCCGGTGGCCCGACTACGTTTCCCGATTGTGATTCAAAGATACAGCGCCTCAAGGACATGGGCATTGATGAGCACGATGCGCGCGCTGTATTATCCAAAGAGAATTGGAATTTGGAGAAGGCGACCGAGTGTCTATTCAGTTAGCTTTGCGGCGAAACGAACAACCACAGCAACAGCAACAGCAACAACAACAACGACAACAACACCATCATCAACAGCAACAGCAACAGCAACAACAATAAAATTAACAGCAGCAGCAAAACACCAACAGCAACAAGTTAAACGAAAACGAAGCAGGCAGGAACAGCAACAGCAGTAGCAAATTCAATTTCAGTCAATCTTGTTTATGAATCAGTTGGACAGCAAACAATTACTATGCAAAATTTTAAGTACTCTGTTAAAACACCAAATAGCCGATCAACTTTATTTAATTGGCATACATAATTCGAGCACACAAACACATAGATACTCTAATACCCACAAGTAGACACAACAACACTACAAATACACACACACACACACACACAATCTATTTATTGAAAATTTTAAATATTTGTTTTGTTAATTTCCAAATTTATTTACTGTGTAATTGTAAAAAGCAAAAAAGCAAAAGCTGGCGGTCCATTCCGGTTCTCACTTGCCCAAATCGCACTTTCCGTGCGAGTTTTTCATCTCAAAACAACAAATTAAAGTGTAATAAAAGTGAGTTCCGGCTGTGGCCCAATAGTTTTTCTTTTTCATAGTGTGGAATTCATTATTTATTTGTTTGTTTAAGTGAGCAGAACATTGAACATTGTGTTGCATTTCCTGCTACAGGTTGAGCCTGGGGCACAGCCCGCCCACGACATTTGATTATATATATATTTTTATGATAGAAATAGAACCCAGGGTTCGGTTTGTGCAGCCGCATTTATTGTTAAGCGAGGACAACAACAAAAGAAAGAAACTCTAATCACGAAAAAGTTCATAAAAAGAAGAAATACGCAAATTTGAGTTATGAAAGAAATGTATAAGATATAAACAAATGAATTGCAAACACATTTAAAATTAATAATCATACAATTTGTAACCTTTATCCCGATTTTATTTATGTCGCTAGCCGACGCAAGCAAAACATAAGCAAATTAATTTTAAAGCTAAAAACGAAAAACGATCTATAATAAAAATCTTTGTAAATTGCGTTAAGTTAAATAATAAACAACTATTAAGAAATGCATCAAGGTGAATCTATTGATTAGTTGCTTCAAATAACACTATGCAACAAAATTGGAAAAAATGAATACTAAAGCGTTTGCTCAATTTGACTATATTTACGTAATCTTTGCATTAATTTATAATATTTTCTAGATCATAGTTGATTAATGCACTTTTCTACAAATCACGTCTATTGTCTACTTGAAAAATTTTGTCGCTCTTGTTGCATAGTGTAAAACACATTTGTCTACAATTCCTACTTCTAATATTGTCTACATTTTATTTGCCATTCGATTTAGGAGTCTACTTGTGCTTTTGCTTGGACAGCTGGCCAGCGCCCGGAACACCCATCATGCTGCTCACTGTGGCGCCCAGCCCAGAGTGGACATTTGGATTGTTGATGCTGTTGCCCGATGAGCCAGAGCCGCCAATGCCTCCAGCAGCGGTGCCCGCACTGCTGGCACTGCCAGATGGCATATTGTGGTTGCTGTGACGCTGCTTGAGCATCTCCTTCCACTCGGTCTCCAGTCGCACATAAGTGCCGCCCAGAGGCTGGGTACTGTGCGCCGAATTTTGATCGGGGCCCGTCTTCTTGGACACGTAGCTGGCCACCTGCTTCATGATCTTCTCCTCGAAGTCACGCTGATGGTCCTGATTGCTGCGCGCCGACAGCTCGCCCGACCAGAAGCGCCCAGAGACAGCAGCCGGCCTAAGCGAGAGATGAGTTATGAATGAGAGATGAGTGATAATAATGGGATGAGAATGCATAACTCTCCCTCTCTCTTTATTTACCGCTTTCGTTTCTTTTTGCCGCGTGCTTTGCGCGGCGGTGGCCGATGATCCGACTCGCAGCCATCGCTGCTTGAGGAGTAATCATCGTCGAGCAGCGCATTGCGATTGCGTAGACGCGGCAGGCGCGTATCCTCAGAGCTGGTCGAGTTGTTGTCCGACTCGGAGCTGGTCTCATTCTCATAGCGGCAGCGTCGGCTAACACGATGATTGGTCACTGTGAGAGATATTGAGTTGGATGATCAAAGAGATTCTTATGTGTCGAGAGGAAACCATAACCCACTGTCCATGCAGAGCTGCGGCAAGAGACCCTGGCGACAACGTTGTGGCGTCAACGAGATGCCCAACCAATTGGGACTAATCTCACCCGCAGCAGCTAGCTCCTGCAGATGCAACGGTGGCTGCTCACTCAGCGCGTAGTTCTCACCAACCAACTGGGCAATGGCCAGGATCGCACGCTCCCGATCTGTGTCCACCAGCACGCTGTGCTCGCGGAACTGGCAGCCCTGAAAGGAAGCATAAATCCCATTAAACGGAAATCGTTCAAAGTCTTTACCAAATGACATGCTTTACATTGGGACCTGGCAATGTTTCGTAGCGGAACGCCTGCTGCTTGCAGCAGGGGTAGCGTCCAGCTGGACCGGCAATGCGTCCCTCGGCGTCGGGACCTAAAAAACTCGGCGGTTCGGGATGGTAGCGGCACCAGCTCATTTGATAGACCGGGAAGTGAGCCTCACAAGTGCAGCAATACAGATAGTGGCAATGACCCCAAAGTTTCCAGTAGACTTTGCGCCACGACTTGAGGTCCTTGAACAGCTGCATCACGTACACATTGAGATCCCAGTTGGTGTCGCGCACATGGTTGCTGACCAGCTGGCCCCAGCGATTGAGCCGTATGTTGCTTGGCAAGCAGTTCACGTGGGACTTCATCGTGTTGGTCACGCAGCGACAGCAGCGCACGCACCGAAACAGTCCAGAGATGCTATAGAAATGGCCACGCAGCACCTCCGGATCTGGCTCGCAGAGGCTTTGCACTAGCTTCGTCCACAGCCTGGGCGTGACACGTTCCTTCTTATCGCGCACCATCTCCAGCTCCAGGTTGGTGAACATGGCAGCCAAACGGGTGACTAGGGCATCATTGAGGCACGACAAATTCGTCGAAGTGCGCACTACCTCGCTGAGATGGGCGTGACAGAAGGCTAGGCACTCCAGCAGCAGTGGCTCCATTTGCAGAAAGCTGGCCGAGACCAGAATGGGCACCACGTTGTTGCCATCCAGCTGGGGACCCGAAGTGCTGCATTGTCCCGGTGCCGGAAGCTCCTGGCTCTGGGCACTGTACTTGATCCAGCGCATCAACCAGTCAAAAATCTGTATGTCACAGTGAACCGATATGTCCATCTCCTCCAGACGCTGCCCGGCCGTAACATCCGCAAAGTAGCCCATTTTGCTCACCAGCAGACCCTGCGGACAGGTGAAGTCACGCGAGGTGTTCTTCACCTCGTCGCACACGTGGATCACGACCTCTGATCTAAAAAGATTTGGAGATCGAATGATGAAATTACTCTTGTATTTATTTATTTTCATGCACTCACTCCTTCTTGTCCTGGCGCGAATGCTTACTGTCCTTGACCAGCAACAGGGATTTGCGTCGTGTGGCTGTGGTAGAGGATGCTTTGCCAGTTGGCTCCTTTACGGACGCACGCACCACACTGTTGCCGCTGTGCATCTCAGCCGCTGGGCTTTCCCTGGGCGAGTGAGTGTTGGGCGAGCTGGAGCTGGGCGTCGTTAAATTATTTGGGCTTGGAATGGGATCCGCCTTCACCAACTGCAATGGCTGCGACGATGGTACTTTGGTCGCCTTTCCCCGCCCGCCGTTGGGTGCCAAGGTGACAGGCAAGGGCATTGGACAAATGAAGGAGAGTACCGAGTCCAACACACCCTCGTTGATGACATAGTCCAGTTGTTCACGGAGTTTTGGATGTAGGCCTCGCTCGCTGTGAATGTGTCCGGAGCGCATTGAGGACCTAGGATCCGGCAGCAGCAGACTAGTACGACTGCTCTCATCCCGGCTGCTGCTAGTGCTACCGTTGGTTAGACTGCTGCTGCTCGTATTTCGTTGGGAACGCTTGAGGCCCAGGAGTTCATTAACCAAATCATTTTCGGCCAAACTATTAAAATCGAATTCTTCTTTTTTTGAATTTCGCTTCGGGAAGACACCAGCTAGATTCTCGGCGGGTGGCACTGGCTCCCGATTATATGGTTTGCCTTCAACTTTTGTTATCATATCGTTTACGTGACAGGAAAGTTTGAGAAAGTCGAGAAAATCATTTAAACTGATTTGAAAATCGGAACCGTTTGCGCTCCCATTGCTATTGCCCGCTTGCTGTTGTTGTTCCTCCGAATTTGAATTGGATGCTGCAGCAGAAGCGCCTTCCTCATCATTATTGCTTGACTTTTCCATTTCGATGACCCAATTATTATTTGAAAATTGCGAACCAAATAAATTCGCATTGTTTCCGTTACTTTGGTAACCGCGGCGCTTCTTCTTCTAGCCATTCGCACCGACACGACTGTTTTCGATAATCGCTAGCGCATACAACCCTGTGTGTGCATTCACACAAAAGATGTAATTTTGACAGCTGCTCTTTTCTGTTCTTTTCCGGTAACAACGTTCGCAATGGTGGGTGTCCGAATGTCAAAACTCGAATAAAAAACTTTATTTAAAAATGCAATCATTGCACTAAAAGCAAAAATATGTGAAGCTTATTGTGGTCAAATATGTGCCGCTCTCAAGCGTAGTGAAATTTCATTCAGCCCAGTCAAAGAACTGGCTCAAAATCTTGATTGTTTATGTGTTTATACAGGCGTAAACTAATCTGTGTATTCCAACCCTCTTCACTTTAAAATTTAGGGTCGCGTCAGAACCAAGACAGTGAAGAAGGCCGCTAAGGTCATCATCGAGAAGTACTACACACGCTTGACGTTGGATTTCCACACCAACAAGCGTATCTGCGAGGAGGTTGCTATCATTCCCACCAAGCCCCTCCGCAACAAGATTGCCGGGTAAGTAGTGCAACTGGAAGCTGCTTTGAATACTGTACGTGGGATTGCAATACTAATTGTTGCTCTTGTCTACATTCCTGCAGCTATGTTACCCACTTGATGGGCCGTCTGCGTCACTCTCAGGTGCGTGGTATTTCCATTAAGCTGCAGGAGGAGGAGCGCGAGCGTCGTGATAACTACGTGCCCGCTGTCTCGGCTCTGGAGCAGGACATCATTGAGGTCGATGCCGATACCAAGGAGATGTTGAAGCTGTTGGACTTCCACAACATTCGTGGCCTGCAGCTGACCCAGCCCAACACCAACAACTTTGGACGTCGCAATTAGGTTTAGATCGGAAGATGGTGATCCCTTAAAGATGCCTGTTTTATAAAAAGAGAAAACCTTGCATTGGAGCACAATAAACAAACATCAAGTGTGTGAAATGCAAACATTAAATCAATAACTGTGTTGTCTTTGGATTGCGATTAAGTAAATGCATTTGGTTGGTTTATTTTCATTTTAATGAAAAATACTGTGTAGACATGCACATATAAATATGTATACATTCGATCCATAAATAAATGGGTTTGTTCTTTATACAATGATACGACGATATATAAAAGATATTCTCTACGAGTGCACATATGTAAATCTAAGCGTGTACACAAATATATATGTATATATATATATTGATATAAATATATGTATAGGGGGTATATGAAGAGTTGTATATGTTGCTTATGCATTGTCAGTTGATTGCTCCAAGTTGGGTCTGCGCACCGGATTACGCAAGACCAGCTCCGAATCCTCCGAGATGATGGGCAGTGCATGGACCCAATGGTAATTGATCAAATGGCTGATGCTGTCGAATATGCGATCTTTGGTACGCACCACGCCCTCAGGATCGATGAGCAACAGATGCTTAGGTGTCTTCCCCTCCAATCCCGTCAATACATATTGCCCGCGCTTGCCTTGCGACTCGCGCACCAGGAAGTCGCCATCCTGCTGCAGCAGGCGTTCGGCAATGGGACGTGAGATGGCCGCATGGAACCAGATTTCGGCAGTAAGCGGACACTGGGGCCCATCGAACACGTCGCGTATGGAATTTGTGGCCACGCCCGCCGCAACAGAACCTGCCTGCAGCGGATCAAAATGTCCAAGTGAATGTTTGTTGGTGGTTTGATCGGGTGGCGGGGAGTTAAGATCGATAAGATTGCTGCTCAAGCGATCGCGCGGCTTCTTCAAATTCAACTGGGCGACACGAGGAGCGTGCGGATGAAGCGGTATTTGTGCCTGTGCCAATGGCTGTTGCGCCTGCAGCTGTGGCTCATCGCAAGGCAGATCCGGCGGCAGCTTGTTGGGTAAGTCATTGTAATACTCTTTAACATTCTCTTTACAGCTCAGATTAATGTTATCTGTGGTAGCTGCAGCTGTGCCAGCTGCTGCTCCTGCGCCCACACAATTCTGTCTGCTCAGCGCATTGAATCGCAACACAAAAGCCTTCCCAATGGTCACAATCAGATCCTCGCTCTGTCCGCCTGCACACTCCAGCACATAACAGGCACGCCACTCGTCGCCCTCTCGCTTGGCAATGTAGGCCAGGAAATCGAGAGTGTCATTGTCGCCACCGGAAGCAAACGATATCCGAGGCATATTGTGGCTGGCAATCACTTCGCCCGTTTCCACATTACTCAACGTTAAAGCACGACTGGATACGTTAATTATGATGTTGGTGCCCGCATGCTCCATGCTGGGACGATCCGAGATGAAGTTGTGCAGCCTTTTGTCCAATCGCCGTTTGCTCACAGACTTAAGACCAGCTGCTTCACATACTCGATTAATACATTCACTGAAATTACAACAATTTGCCATTAGCAGCTTGCAGAGATTCTTGATTGGAGTTGAATTTCTTATTTTTTTCTTAATTTTTGTTCACCTACCGTGCGAGCAGCGTTCGCGTTTCAAAGTCCAGCGATTTCATGGAGGTCTTGACCTCAACGCAGCCCGTATAGCGTACATTGAATGTTACGCCCTTTTCCAATATAACATCATCGGGATAGATGCAGCCATCGCTGGTGGCATTTGAGCCTGTGCCACCGTTGCCGGCATCGCCGCCATTCCGTGGCATTTCGTTTCTGTATGCGTATTTAGTGTGTGCGTCCTGTGCGTCCTTTGTTTGTAGAGTTGTATTGAGCCGTTCGGAATGAGTTCGATCGAATGACTCACTTAACTAAATGAACGAACTCTAGTTCTGAGAGGGCGCTCATTTGGCTCGATAGCATCTGTTATTTAACAGAATCCTTTATATTGAAATCTATTGAAATATCATTAAATTAGGTTTGTTTTATGTGCGAGTGTAATATTTGACTAAGAACAATTTAATGGCTGGTAATTATGCCTTTAAGGTGTTATATATAAATAACAGAGCTGCTACCAGTGTGCCCAGCCAACATTGATACACTTATCGCACATCCGCCTCAGTCTGTTTACGAATTATCGGCCAACCTCTACAACAAACAGCTGCTATAAGCAACTTCTCGGCTTAGCTTGTTGCTAGTTAAAAAGCTTGTGGCACGTTAAAGCTTCACTGTAAAGCTTATATCTTATTTAACTCTCGTGCATACAACAACGTTTGCTCGGACGCTAAATCGTGCGTGTCGGTTTTCTGTGTTTTCAAGCGGGGCATATACATACACAGAAATTGTTTTCAGAGCCGCAACGCCGTCATCTTAAGCTAACAAAAGTAAATAAAAATCGGCATATCTTAAATTAAAACAACAAATATATTATATTTAGTTGGTGTATTAACTATTGAGCGATATTTGCTGCGATTATTGTGCCACAGTCTTGAGACAATAGATATTTGTACAAGACCAACAATAATTTAGTTAAATCTGGTTCAAAACAAACAGTTGTGAAATTATTTAAGTTTTGGCCTCAAAGACCTAAATTGACAATCGATAAAGGCAGCATAAGAAACTCGACGGACAAACACCCCCGCGCCGAAGTCGCAACTGCAGTCAAACACCCTCAGACCAAGAAAACGCAAATCTGTGCAGCGGTTACGCCAACGCAACAGCAGCCGTGCAATTGGAATCTGATTGGAGCGTTCATACGGCGTCTGACCATAAAATAAATAAAATCAGTGTATTTGCAGTTTATTATTATTGTGGTAAGTTTATTGCGTTTTTAGTGCTATTTGCCATTTTATCAAACTTTCTGCTACTAGTTTCTTTTGCTTGTGTAAATATTTGTATGTTTGTGTGTGCCTGCGTGCGGCTGTTGCCGTTTTGGATGCGGCTCAGTGAGCATAAAACCATTTTTACGTCATTTGCAGGTTGAAATAATTTTTATAGCAGTTCCATGCACACACACACACACACTAACAGATACGACAAACACACTTATAGCGACATGGCCGAAACTGTGTGTGAGTCATTTGCATGGGACATTTGTAGCCGTAAGACCTGCGTCATAACGGTAGCCCCATGAAATCTTGAATCTTACACGCACACACTTAAAGAAATACACTTGTATGTAAGCCATAGCTGGAAACATAATTATGCTTTTACGCAGTTCTTGTTGTTGGTGATCTCATAGGTTTGTTTGGTGGCTTCCGCTAATTGCTGCTCTAAGCGTTTTAAACCTGACCGCCCAACGGTCCAGACATCAAATGTGGCCTTAATTCACGCCTTTGCCACTTGATTCAGCAGCCGATTCGCTCCTAATATGGCGCCAGAGTAGAGCAAGCTCAAATTAAAACAAATGACGTTGTCCCTCAAACAACAATAATTTTTTTTGCCGGTAAGCATCTATCGGTACGGCTGTCGATAACACCTACACGACCACGGCCTTGTCTGACTTTTGTTTTAGATAAATTCGGTGTAATATAATTATTGTTAATGACATAAATGGGAGTGCCGGTTGGCTAATATGTAGTTTTATTGCCTTTAGAAAGTGTGCTTAATGATCTTACCCTTTGATTTAGTTTTGTTTTTATTATTACCCTAAAAGAGAGCGCGACGAACTTTTGTTTCCATTTCATGCCCTGCTTTAATGATACTGTAACAGCAACTACACAGCCGAATAGAAAGTGTCATCACAGCATTGCGCTGCCTTTTAACAGAACTGTTAAATGCTCTTGGAGAAGGCAATAAACTGTATACACACATGTATGTATGTATGTAAATAAAAATATGTACAGTGGTGCGAATAGCGTAATTTCTAGAATATTTTTGGCACGTCAATGTACATATTTATTTTATTTTTTGCTTGACTGATTTGCTTCGTCAGATATGTCGTCATCTGTTTTTGCAATATTAAAATGTGGTCTTGCAGCTGTTTCTTCAAGCGAGGCTTTGCAGTATGCGAATTACTTTCGGAAAGTATTAAAACAATGTACAAAACTATTGTTACTCTACATTTAACTACCGTTTTTATTGTTTTCCAAGTGGCTATAAACTTATGCACTCGCATGTACACATTATCAATGTATTTAAATGTATGTCTGTATATATATTTTTATTTATTTATATGTAGGCTTATATACTTAATTTATTTGCTCTAGAAACTATAACACGCCGATTTGCAATACTAAATTCGCTGTGGTTGACCTCCTCCACCTCCGCCTTCACATCAGCTGCTCGAAGTCTGTTATATAATACTGGGCGCGCCTGTAGACCTCCGCTCGCACCACGTTGCCGCCGTAGCCGATGAAATTGTTTGCCGGTGGGACAGCTTCCAAATCGGTGGCACCATCTCCAATCATTGTGATTAGTGTGTCTGCCGGCTGCTGCTTACGAATCATGCTAATTGCCTCCGCCTTGCCGCCAGAGTGAGATGTGGGCTGGGTGACATCGAAGCTGTCGTAGGCGCCCTTGTAGTCGAATAACATTTTATTGGCGAACATGTTGCTCAGTGGAATGCCCAGCTCTGCGGCCACAGGGGCGATGAGGCAATCAAAGCCGCCAGATATGAGATACACCTGCTTGCCGTCCGCCTTCAGCTGAGCCACAAATCGCTTCACATTCCGGCTGAGCGTACTGGGCCGCTGCTTGATGAACTCGGCTACCTGCTGTTGTGTCGGGCGAATGATGTTCAGGCGAATCTTGAGCGCATCCTGGAAGGTCATGCTGCCGCCCATGGCTTCTTTGGTTACGCGGGCCACTTCGCTGCCCTTGCCGCAAAATTCGGCCAGCTCATCGATGCCCTCCTCACAGATGACAGTTGAGTCGACGTCGAAACAAACGATGTCCGATTGCTTTATTATCTTGGCTGCCTGCAGCGGCTGTTTTGGCTGCGTAGCGGCTACAGTACTTTTACCGCTAGCCAGCGCCGCATTTAGTTGCTGGGCGAGCAGAGTGGCCGTTGCTGTTGCTGTGGGGCCTGCACAGCCGTTCGTGGCAGCACTTGGACGAACCATGCTTAACACTGAGCTGCTCATTTTTCGTATGGATATCACGTTGATTCTGTTAATTACGTAAAGACTGTTGCGTGGTTGCGCTTACGTTACGATTCTGCGTCTTTCACACGCTATTCGCTTCTCAAAATTTTCCGTTGTAAATGTTGTTTGTGTGTGTATATATTTATATATACATACGCATGTATTTTGTTCTCTATTTTGCACACGCGCGTTTCGTTCTGCTCAGCTGTTTTTTGTTTCTGTTTTCTTTTCAGTTTTTCAACTTGTCATGACGCGGTTGTTTGTATTAAGTTATATTTTTGTAAATTGTATTTAATGGTTGCGATCTGTACGCATTGACTGGTCTTTTACAACTGATTTTCCAATAGTCAGTGTGCGCGCCTTTATAAGAAAACTTGAACAAACAAATACAAGTGCAGCGCCGCCTTAACATGCTGCCCTGCTCTCTCGTTCTCTCTCGCAGCTAGCAGACGAATTGTCGCGACGCTGACCAGTCTGTCTGTGTGCGTGTATGTGTCTGTGCATGTGCTTGAGAGGCGATCATACGATAGCTGCCAATTACAACTCAGCTGGTTTATTTGTATGTGTGAGTGAGTGTTACAATGTTCGTCGATAAACAGCTGCCATAGATATAAGTTCTGCACCGACTCTCAGCTCACCTACTTTGTATGTTCCAAACTCTCTTCGTTCCAATGCGTGAGCCAACCTTTGTACAGCCGCGAGTGAGTGAGACAAACGAAGTATGTTTGTTTGTCTTTATCACGATCTTAATAGACGATGAAAAAAAGTGTCACTTACTGCTCGAGTGCTTATTGAAACCGGATTGAGCTGGTTTTGCGACCTATTGATGTCTGGCGTTCGTCTGTTATCATAAGCGGGCCAATAAAACATTACTGATTAGTGTGTAGGAGATCGGATGCCGAATTTATACTGCTGAAAACCATGAGCCAGGAGTTATTTTCGTGTTTTTGAGAACCGGAATTGTGTTGTCTTATCAGTTGATAGGTTTCTACCAGTGGAAAGCATTATACAGCGTATTTTGTGGTCAAGTTGATGGCTGAATCAACATACATATAGAAACGACTTTCTTTTTTTTTTTAATAATTCATTGATGAGAAGAGAAATATATAGTATTCTATATAATATATGCATACATGTATATATAAATTTGTATTAAATGTGTCTGTCTGCATTAGTATACAGGGGCGCGTTCTGAGGGCTGATGCAATAAAGTTTTACGTTACATGTTACGTCAAAAAACGTATCATGCCGCTGAGCACTGACTCTACTCTTTGCAGTTTCTCTTTCTCTCTCGTTTTGCGCCGTCCGTTTTGTCCAGTAGATACAACTATCATAAGGCGCGTGCAAAGCAAACAAAAACAGTATGTAATGAAAATGGAATTGCATTCGCTGTGGTTAAATGCAGTTGTTGGTGTTGGTGTGGTTTTTTGTTGTTTTGAGGAATAACAAGTTGTTTTGATCATTGTTCAGGTCGGTTGCGAAGCGTGCTGTAAACAACAACAGCCCGAGACCGCAAATATATTTCATTGCCAGCGATTATGCACTTCGTTTCTGACTGGCTTCGATAACGATAAATCCCGTTGCGTGCACTTTGCAAGATCTAACAAGCTAACGGCTTCAATTGAACACAGTAGTTAAAAATTAAGTTTTAATTACCAGGCCGTCGTTGCTCCTTGTTGCCTTGGACAACAAACACCTGTCAGAAATTCAACAGCACCGGTTGTTGGGCGTCAAACTTTTCCCTTACCTTGGCAACTTGCTTTCCATTTATCGATTGACCTTGTTGCTGCATAAATTTGACCCAAGTCTTTTGGTTTTGGCTAGCTTAATTTCAGTCGTGTCAGGACAAAACTAGGCTCTATAATGGTCTCTGTAAATACATATGTATACACACATGTGTACACACACACATACATATGTATGTGTGTACGTTTGTATTGAAAACAAATTATTTGTATTGGCCTTTGGTCTGCCACGCGTGTGTGACTAAGGTTCGATAATAGAATACGCCTGTGTACATAATATAGTTCAGTTTAGTCACTTGGTAAATAATTGATGCACGTTGACGTCTATTTATTTCATTGTAATTTGTGTGTATGTATGTATAGAATCATATTACTATATATTTAATACACGCCCACAACAAACCACTTGAAGTAGCATGGCATGGAGGGGCTTACCCTAGCCTGTAAGGCACTGGCGCAAGCCACAGACGAGGGCTTGGTTTTTTCCTCCAGTCAGCGACTAATCAGCTGCTAGACGAAAATAAAAAAATAATTAGGTGGCCAGACAGAAGGCCGTGCAATTGCTATATTTAATTTCATCTCAGGGCGTGCAACTATTAATTGCACAAGCAAAACATTTATATTTGCGATCTGTCTGACGGGCTATAATTGATTTGTTTTCGATTAAACAAAAATGCAAGTTGTCAAGCGTTTTGTTTCTAACTGCATTTATTGCTGATTAACGGCTCACTAGTAGTCGCTGTGATCGCGTACGAACATGTGCATATGTATAATACTCTCTCACTTATACTCGTTCACATGTGCCGTTCACACGCGATTTTAGCTCCTTTGCCTGTTCTCATGCTTACACACGCAAGCACACATACACACTTAGTTGACACATTTACAAAAGCGCATACATGTATGTATGTATGTCTGATTGTATGTAAGACGGATGAGCTTAAAAGGGGAGCAACAAGAAGAGCCGTAGGTAACCCGCGCTCGCTGCTTATGAGTTTCATTGCATTGTTCTTGCTCTTGCTTTTGTTTTTGTTTTTGCTCTAGATCATGCGCTTTGGCTTATGGAAAGCACTTTGTGGAGAAAGAGAGAAGGAGATAGGCAACGTATAGCAACGTCAACAGTTTGCTGTTGGGTAAATAAACAACAAGAACGTCAACTGCAAGGCAATCCCCTCTCTGCTGGGGGCTATGCTGCACAGTGCAAACACGTCATTTGTGCGGTGTTGGTGTTGCTGCTGCTGTTGCTGTTGCTATCGCATTTTGACATTCGAACTGCGCTGTGCGGTGACGCCGACTGCAGCGTTGACGCTAACTGCAATTGCAGCCTGTTGTTTAAGTTTGTGGCTGACAAAACTACTCAAAAAGTGGCAGCAGCAAAAAGTTTTGCATGCGCTCGAAATGATTGCCCCGCCCCGCTCAACTCAATTGTAATTACAAAAGCGCTTATCGCTCTCTTTCTGTCGGCATCAGTTCGTTGCACTCGCAAATTAGCCATAAAGGAGTTTTGTAACCGCATTGTGTTCCACTTTCCCATGCTCCTCCGCCCACAGACATTAGTTTAATGACACCGATAACGTATTGTATTGTATGTATACGCATATTGCACGGTTACCGTTATCGGTTAGCGTGTAGGCTGGCAGAGGCAGCGCAGCTCAAGACTATTACTTATTTATGGCAATTTGCCTGTCAGCACACCTAGTAGACGTGTATTTCCTAACCGCTGAATTAGCTAGCTAGCTGAATGGCATGTGGTGCGGTGATTCCCACGCGAGGTCGCACCCAAAATTAGATGCGCCACCAGCACCGGCAACAACAACAACGGCAACCAAAAAGCAGTTGATAATCAAATTGAAACGCGCCTTTTTGCAATGCTCTATTTAATTGGCCTTCTCGATTGCATTTTCAGTTGATCTATTCGCTCATCGGCGGTCGCAATTATGGTGGAATTCCGTTTCGATATTAAGCCGCTGTTTCCGCAGCCAATTATCAAAGTGGCATCGAATCTACTGCCGCACACCTTTCGAGGGGATCGGCGTCAGTGCTTGTGAGTATTGAAACTGTACGCGGGCGGTATACCCAATTCGAGTCGTAAGTCAATTAACCGTTACGCTTTCCACACTCACGCCCACAGAGATGCCACCTCAAAGATGTCCGAGATAATTGATCGATTAGGTCAGTTGTCGGCCATATCGCAGGGCCTGAACAAGCCAGTAACAACGGCTCAACGCCTGCGTATGTCGGAGAACCAGACCATTTATCTATTAGCGGACACTGAGGCAGGCCACAAGTAAGTCGACTTATCAACTCTTCATTATCCATGATCATTATATATACTGGAATCTTCTCTTCGTATAGCGGCGCTGTCATTGGCCTGCTCAAGGTGGGCACTAAAGATCTCTACTTGTTCGACGAGAAGGGTCAGACTCGCAAGATGGAGCAGTCGCCCTCAATCCTGGACTTTTACGTGCACGAGTCACGTCAGCGTGCAGGATTGGGCAAGCGTCTGTTCGAGACCATGTTGAATGAGGAGCACTGGACACCAGTGAAATGCTCCGTCGATCGGCCGTCCGAGAAGTTGCTCGGATTTCTGAGAAAGCACTACGGCCTGGTACGCACCATACCTCAGGCGAATAATTTCGTACTCTATGAGGGATTTTTCGGGGACGAAGCTAGTCAGAATGGCTCACGGAATGGACATGCCGCATCGCCGGAGCGCACTAAGAATGGGCTGCACATTACAGACAGGTGAGTTCAATGGGGGCGGTGCAGGGCACTGCAGGGCAGGGCAGTGGGTTAATTGAGGCATTGCGCCTTGCAGGAAACATTTCCGTTGGCTTTGTTGCCCATTTCTTGGCCAACAACATTTGCATATCGCACGCAAACATCCGACTCAACAATTCACCCAATTGTTTGTGTGCCGGTTTCATTAGTGGGCGTCTGCGATAAAATTGATCGCCTGCGGAAAAGCATTTATCGATAAATAAGCCTTACAAAACAATTGTATGCAATCTATTAACGGTGGCTTGTTGCTTGCGCTTTCACTAGACAAAACTATTTATATAGGTATATACATTTAAGTCTGCTCCTATCTATATCTATATCTTGGTTATATGTATATGATATGTTTCGCACAACTTGAGATAGTCTGAAGTCGTTTTGATTGAATGAGTGAAATGAAAACATTAATATATCTATTAAATTAGAAAAATAATAATAATAAAAATAATAATAATAATAATAAATGTAAATGCAAAATAATTAAAAGAACATTGGAAGCAGAAAATGAAAATTAAATTGATTGATTGATTATAAATGCCAGAGAAATTTAGTGCGATTTGAAAATCAAATTTTCGCTTCAATTATTCAAACAATCAGGCAATATAAGGTCAAATTTACCTTTCTTTCATTATTATTAATATTTATATGAGTTTATCACGAGATTTTTCTTAATTAATATTTATATCAGTTGAGCACGATATTCAGCTATGAAGTTGAGCGAAACGTATTAAAAGTAACTAATTATAATTGTAATAATATGCATATCTATGTAATTAAGTAAATATACTAAATATTAATTATTTTCAATTCACATGTTGCGCCTGCCT